CCATTGTGACAACCCATGTTGTTTGAGGCCTTCCTCTTTTTTGCTGATCCTCTACTTTTCCAAGCATGATGTCCTTCTCCAAGGACTGATCCCTCCTGATAATATGTACAAAGTACAAAGAGATGAAGTTTTGCAATCCTTGTTTCTAAGGAGCATTCTGGCTGAACTACTGTCAACACAGCTTTGTTTGTTCTTCTGGCAGTTCATGGTACTTTCAATATTCTTTGCCAGCACAGTAATTCAGATACCTCCATTCTTCTAGGTCTTTCCCTGTTCATTATCCAACTTTCACATGCATATGAGGCAACTGAAAATACTATGACTCGGGTCAGGCACACCTCATTTCTCAAACTGATATCTTCCTTCTTGAACACTTAAAAGAGGTTTTTTGCAACAGAGTTGCATAATGCAATATATGTTGTTGATTTCCTGATGGCTGCTTCCATGAGAATTGATCGGGGATATAAGCACAATGAAGTCTTTGACATTTTCAACCTTTTTCCCATTTATTATGATGTTACTTATTGGTCCAGTTGTGAGGATTTTTGTTTTCTTAACATTGAGGTGCAATTCATATTTGATCATCAGCATTTCAAGTCCTTTCCATTTCCAGCAAGTAAGGTTGTATCATCTGTTTATCAGAAGGTTGTTAATAAGTCTTCCTCCAATCCTAATGACACATCTTCTTCATATAATCTAGTTTCTCAGTTTATTTGCTCTTCATACAGATTGAATGCTGTCCCTCTACTTTTCCAAGCATGGTATCTTTTTCCAAGGACTGGTTTCTCCTGCCAGTATGTCCAAAGTATGAGGGACAAAGTCTCTTCATCCTTTTAAGTAGCATTCTGGAGTTTTCAAGAGTGATTTCTTCTAAAAATGATTTGTTTCTTCTTCTGGCAATCCATGGGTCTATTCAATTTTCTTCATCAAAAGCACAATTCAAGTGCATGAATTCCATTGTTTTTTAAAAATTTTTTTTAAAATCCAGCTTTCTTTCACACATAACTGAACAGTCCATGACTTGGGTTGTTATTTGTTGTACTTGAGTGCCATCAAGACATTTTTAACTCATAGAGACCCTGTATAGGGTTTCTCAAGAGTGGCTAGTGGGTTTGAACTACTGACCTTTTGGTTAGCAGTTCAATATTTATTCTACACAGGACTTGGGTTGTTGTTGTTGCTATTGTTAAGTGCCGTCAACTCAGTTCTGACTCAAACAATTTAACAATGTCACTTTCTTTCCATTTATTATGTTGTTTTCTTTTTGGTCCAGTTGCGACTCATATACAAATCTGAACAATGATCATATTGATTTGTTTTCTTTATAGGTGGCCTCCTTTATCTGTGTATAGATATAAACCTATCACTGACAGTGTTGTATTTCAGGATAGATATTGAAATGTTCTTTTAAAATGACTGTAACTCCATTCCTCTTCAATTTGTCATTCCCAGAATGTTGTTGCTGCTGTTAAATGCTCTTGAGTCTGTTCCTAATCCTAGTGACCCCTCTATAGGGTTTTCTGAGGCTTTAAACCTTGGCGGGAGTTGAAAGCCTCATTTTTCTTCCATGGAGCACCTGGGGGGCTCAAACTGCCAACCTTGTGCCTCACAGTCTTCTTATTCTGTGGTGCCACCGTGTTACCTATTTCCAGCACTGTGGTGGTTGTGGTTATGTGCCATGGGGTAGGTTCAGATGCATAGCAGCTCATAGTAGATCGTATGATTGTAGGATTCAAGATGACCATTACCAGTCCTTTCACCTGTCTAATTCTAGAATATCTCTCTTCAAGTGTTATAATTTTCCTTGATTCATTTTCATTTTGGGGATAACCCATGTGAGGGCTCACGTCTGAAGTCACCAACATCTCTTGCCTGCACTAAAGTCACAGTTTCTGAAGGTCCCTTCTCTGACCTATTCTCCACAGTTGAAAATGATGTCTTTAAGATGCAGAATGTCTAGTTTCTGTTCTGTTTAGAGCCCTGTGCTCACTCCTATTTAAATCCCTTTGTTAGTTTCCCCATTGTCCATCTGTTCTCTGCCTACCTGTACCAAAAGTACCCTTTCATGTGCTCCTTATCTGACCAATCCTTCTTATGCCTCAGGAGGCAGTTTAGATGTTCTCTCTTCTGGGAAGTCTTCCACTGCCCCCTGAGACAGTGTTAGGTGTCCCTCTTAAGTGGTCCTACTGGATCCTGGGCACTGCTTTTATGACTTGCATTATGAGTGCCTCTTCAAACGTCAGTCTCCACCAACCCAACTGTTGATATCTTGAAGGGAGTGGCTATGCCTTATTCTTAGGGCATATTGCCTGATGAGTACTCAATAAATATTGCCTCACTTAATGAATAAAAGCATGAATGGCAACGGTCCCTTGTTCTTGTTACTCTCAGTAATCAAAGTAACTTCATGTTCAAAAAGTCAAGACAACAGGTTGGTTTTTGTAAGAGCCATGTGTTAGAAGTTAGTGACTACCATCTTCATCCCGGGAGTCCTGGTGTGGCACTGTGGGTTAATGCGACAGACTGCAAAGTCGTTTGAACTGCAAGGTCAGTGGTTCAAGCTCAGCAGCTGCTCCTTGGAAACCCTATACAGGGTCGCTATGGGTCAGAATTGACTTGACAGCACTAACAACAACATCTTCATCCTGGCATGACCCTGTAGGATAAGCACAGGACTCAAAGCACACGGCTAAGTGATTTAAACTCAACAACCACTCCTTGGAAACCCTATACAGGGTTCCTATGAGTCGGAACCGACTCGACAGTACTTGACAACAACAACAATCTTCATCCTACTTGGTGGTGGTGGTGGTGGAAATTGCCATTGACTTTGATTCATGTTTGTTGGTCTCATGCCATCTTTATGACCATTAGTATCTTTCAGTCCATTGATGCAACCAGTGTTAAGTCAACTCAATTTTGCTGATCATCTACTTTGCCAAACATAATGTTCTTTTCTAGAAAGATTGGTCTTTCCTGATGACTTGTCTAGATGACATATTATTATTCTGGGGAAACTCAGGGTCTGAATATAGGGTAAAGTCATAAAGAAACAAAGATATTTATTCATTCATCCCTACTATTCAGTGTCTTGTGGAGTTGGCCTATGCCCGCCAAATATATGCCATTTCCTAATGTAGCGACTTTTCTTTTCATTTGGTGATTTGACTATCCCTAAATTAGTTGAAGCATATAGATTTTAAATATAAGCTTAGTAATGGCAACCTAAGTGTATGAATCTGGATTCAGTGAATACATTAGATATTCAGTGAATATATCTGATGGGCTTTCAGCTATGCCTCTTAAAAATACTGGGATGGAGGGACTTCTCATGCTGTGAGCCCTTGCCTTAACCTTGGCCATGCTCTATGAGATTCTGGATTGAACCTGCATGTGACCCTGGAGAGAGAGACACACACAGATTGTTGAGGGCTGTGTGTGCAACCTGAACCAGATCAAGGCTTCAGGTCTCTGCTGCTGTCCTGACTGCAGGAACCCAGTTGGCCTCGCTCCCCAACTATCTAGTTTCCTTGGAGACCCACAAGATGCCAGAACAATTCCATCCCTCCTCCCCGACTGGTGAGACAGAGCCACCCTTCAGGTCACAGCATCTGTAGAGGACAGGACATTATTGCCTTGTTAGCTAAGTAAAAAGGGTTGTGTATGCAACAGCCTCTGTTATTGCTGACAGAATGATCTTGAGAGATGCAGAAGGGGAGGATGTTGGATCAATGTCATCTCTTTGTTGTCCTCTTTTGAAATGAATTTGAGGAAAGTGTTACAAGACAATCCTCAGGGTTGGTTTTGGGTTTTTGTTGAGATTAAACATTAGTAATGAAGCTACTCATACAAATTAAAAACAATATATAAAAATTAGTTTCATATTTTCAGTGATTTACCAATGAAACATTACTAAAATGTTTTCAAGATAATAGCAGCCATCCGGCGTTAGTATCCAGCTTTAGTTTTATTTTAAAACTTACAAAAGGTGATAATTTTAATGTACTTGAAGAGAATGAAGAGAACATGAGCATTTGATGCAGGCAGATCTGAGTTTGAATCCGGACTCTGGACCTTCCTAACCTGCTTGAAACCTTTTAGTTATGTATCATCTTTTCTGATCTCCAGTTTCCTCCTCCTAAGAGGGAAAATGATACTGTTCAGGCCTGCTGTGAAAGTTACATAAAATGTAACCAATTAATTAAAAATTAATTAGATTACCTTTCTCACTTTTATTTAAATACATAATTTTTGGTATATATGTGCTTATATAGCAGCTTTAATGTGTATTTTCACTTCTGATTTCATAGAAAATAGATACAAAATATTATTCCCAACAACCCTGCAGGTCTAATTGAAGCAGAGAAGCAAAAAAAAAAAAAAAATCCTAGGAAGAGGGTGAATTAATTACTAAATTAATTACCAAACACAACCAGAAGTCTAATTTTCTGACTACCAAACTCTGGGAACTTCTGAGTTACCTTCTATTAACACTTTACACCACATGAAGTGACTTAAACCAGAGATTATAAGGCGAGTGTGGTGGATCTGTAGGATAGATGAGGCTTTCTGCTCCCTTAAAGAGTTACAGTCTCGGAAACCCTATACAGGATCGCTGTGAGTCAAACTGACTTGAAGGCATTTAACAAGGAGTCCTGGTGTGTCGCTGTAGACTAATGCACTAGACTGCAAGGTCGGTTTGAACCCCAGGTCAGTAGTTCAGGTTCACCAGCCGCCCGTTGGGAACCTATACAAGGTTGCTATGAGCCGGAACCAACTCCACAGCACTTCACATAACCAGAGATGGGGAATGTGCTATTTAAATAAACCTATCAATATCTCAATCATTTTTATTTTCAGTGATGGAATTAATTTGAAATTTCAAAGAACATCAAAAGGGGCAACAGGTTAGAGGAGTGTGAACTCTTAGCGACCTTTGAAAGTAGGCTGAGGAAGCACGTAAACGCAACTAAAATCAGACAAGAACATGTTGGACAAACCTTTCTTTTCCTGGGGATTGGCTCGTCAAAGAGAAGGTTGCTAGCCTCTGACTCGTCGATGCCGTCGTCGGGCTGAGCCTGGGTGCGGAAGGGTTTGAAGCTGTCGGCCGAGAGGGGTGGCGATGGCGTGGATGGGTTGGACTGGTCACTGGGGGCACTCCAGCTCCAGTAGCCGCTGCTGCTTGAACTGGAAGGCACGCATCCTCCTTCCTTCCAGGATCCGCTGAGGCCCTCTGTTCATTCACAAAAACACAGTGTCAGTAGCTGGAGTCAGAATGGGAAACCGGCATCCTTATCTCCAGGACCCAAGATTCTATTCCTGTGAAAACACCTGCAGCCTACTCAATAATTTGCAACACCTGGCTATGCAAGTTTTTATTCTGTTTCTACCAAAAAAAGAGTTACACTATAGTTTAGCAGGTTTTTCTAAGAAAGAATTTTCTGAGGTGTATGTTTACATTGCATTAGTAGTAAAGAAAGAAAATAGTTTGTTCCTAAATTTGGGGAGTTGCAGATCTATTGACTGCAGTATTCTCCCAATGTGTTTAGCCAGAGAATTCCACCCCACCCCCCACCTCCTGTTTTATTATTTTTAAGGAACATCTCTTGGGACTTCTGATTCTTAGAATACACATTTATAGAAAAAGTCTAAGATTTAAGAATCTATAAGAGAATGAGTAATTTCTAGATAGTTACCTAGATAAAGCCATCTACCATATGCTGCTTATTATAACAAAGCTTACTCACAGAGACAACCTTGTGTAGTACACATCTTCTAGTCAATCCTGCAAAGCTAGGGTCAGATAAGAGTTTATTGCAAATAATTTCTAATAATTTACTTTTCCACTTAGTTAGAAAACATCATGAAATGTTTGCTAATGTAGGGAAAGCTTTGCACCTGTTAGAATGTCTTCAGGGGTCTTCTAATCACTGAAGATTTGCTTTATCTTTCAAGATACCCAATCTTAATTACCATTTGTATAAATCCTACTTTCTTTTTGGGTAATTTCTCTTCTTTATCTATGTGCATTTTGAATATATTAAAACTATATTAAAACTATATTCTAACTACAAGGAGGAAAACAAATCCCCATGTGTCTCATTAAAAACAATGCTGTTAATGACTGTGTAATTAGAAGTGAAATACAGATGAATGGTAGACTAGCATTCATAATAAAGTTCCTGATTACCTTCAACTAATTGTGGCCCTGTGGCTTAATGTGCAGGACTACAAGGTCACTTTGAACTTCCTACGACATTTACAACAATAACAATTATAGATTTCCACCATCATCTTCAACTACAATTTCCATTTCAAGTAAAATGTTCAGTTATTTTTAAGCAGATGTAAGTTACCCATCTCATTAAAACAAGGGAAATCAAATGGTGATTAATGCAGGCTCACACCTCAGCTCAACAAAACAAATTAGCCCCGCACTTCCGGCAGTCTCCATAGGAGAGGGCCACAATCATCAGGGCTGGAAATGCCTATTATAAACTAGAAAGTTCCATTCAATATAACTAGACTATAAGAGAAGCCTAATATAAGACTTTTGGTAAAGATTAGCTGCTACGATGAACTCACTCAGCAGGCAGGAGAGGCTTGAAAATATACTGCAACATGCACTTGGTGTTACACTGTAGTTGTGTCAATTATAAGGTGGCTTCAAGAAGTTCATGGAAGGATAGAATGAAAAGATAATGGTATTTTGCCATGAACTTTCAGAAGCTAAATTTAAGACCCAACTAGACTCATTTCATGGACATCTCTTCATGTCAATGCCAAATGTTAATTTTCTTATTGTCTTGTCAATGACAGTTCCTTTAGCAACACTTATCAAAAGGACAGTGATATAGAAATGAATTTTTCAGAAAAAAAGTCAAGGTTGATTCATTTTATCCCTTAGGGGGTACCCTCTCTTGATCTTAGACAAGTATTTGCCAAGAAAAACAAGCATTGCTAGAATCACTCCCTTTTTGCATACTCATATCCTGACAGAATGATCCTCTTTAGACAGAAAAGGACCACAACAGCTTCCTTAAGCTCACTTGGTGGTGGTGGTGGTTTATGTGCTGTGGAATTGGTTCTGACTCATTGTGACTCTGCATAGGGTTTCTGCGGTTGTAAATCTTTACTGGAGCAGAAAGCTTCATCTTTCCCATGTGGAACAGCTGGTAGTTTCGAACCGCTGACCTTGGGATTAGCAGCCATTATGCTACTAGAGCTCTGGTATAAACTAACCAATATACAATAATGCCATCATTTTATAGATTCCTTTTCCTATCTAAGAATTTGATGTGACTTATGTTGTCTGAAACAAGAACCGAATAATTTGGGATTATAAACTCGGTCATTTTTTTAAAACCATAAATGAACACTGAATTATTTTCTTTTAAAAAAATTTGTTTTGAAGAAGCAGAAATGTTTAATTTTAACCTTTCAATACAAACGAACATTAACAATGTTCTCAATCTCAAAATTTTTTTTTCTAAAACAGTAGTTGCATTTAAGCTATATTCCCTGACCTCTGAGGATTCCATGGAATTCTGCTATAATGTTTTCCTGAAATAGGTTTTGGGGTACCTTCATTTTACTGACTTTCTTTAGTAGTTCTGTCAAACTGAGAAACATAGATCAGAACATTGATTTGTTACATGGCCACCAAAAGGGATGTAAGGTCATTAAATAGGCTCACCTCAAGAGATTTTAATCTAGTAGTTTCTTATAGAGAGGTGGTGTCAGCCTAATTTAGGGTTAATCATCATGGTGGGTACTATACATTTATAACACTGATTTGAATTCCCAACATCCTGGTAATTTCCCTCCACTTGCAATTGGATTGGGACATGTTTTGGTGAGGACTCAATGGATGTTCACCTCATGCTTACAGTTTTAGTATGTTTCAACCATCGCTCAATTTCATAATTGACAATGCTGGCTTTCAAGGGAAGGTTTTCTATTGCTGGTAAGTGTCATTTGGTGGTAGTTGTTAGCTGATGTAGAGTCATTCCCTGACTCGTGGCTGGCTCCCCATGCACAACAGAATGAAACACTGCCCTGCCCTGCCCCACCCCATGATTGAGTGCAGATCAGACTGCTGGCATCTGTAGGGTTTTCATTAGTTGATTTTCAGAAGTAGATTACTAGGTCTTTCTTGTTAATACATCTTAGTTTAGAAGCTCTGCTGAACCCTGTTCAGCATCAAAGCAAGACACAAGCCACCACTGAAGGACAGGTGGTGGCTGTGTGTGAGATGCAGGGCTGGGAATCTAACCCCATTTGATTCAGGTAGCCTCAGCAAATTACATTACAGTGAAAGTTAATTTGGCACCTTCCTTAGTACTGCTCTATGAATGTTCTTGCCAAAGTTTCCAGTGACTCCCTTCTTGAGGCAGAATTTAGTGGACACTTTGCTAATCCTTCTCACACTTGACATTCTGAAGCATCAGATCTCAAGTTCTTGATGCCACACTCTGTTCCCACTGCCAATCCCTTACATGGTAGTGTGCTTCAGACCTTCTTTAGCCTTCTTTCCTTCTCACTCAGTATCTATATAACTATGTCAGCGTGATCTCACCCATTACTCCCATGGCTTCAAAACGTTGTGTTCTAATTCTGCACCAATTGCCCCGATCTTTTTATTCAGGCTGTACTCTAATCTTCACCAGATGTTGTTGCTTGAAAAATCTAAGGTACTGGTTACTAAATAGAGTTCAAATAGGACCTGTTGTCTTCTTCAGAAAGCATACACATTCACAATGAATCTGGTCATCTGCCTTTGTTCCCTGCTCACTGAAGCATATCAGCTGCCTCAAGTCATGCTAACACACCCTCTTTCTATGTCCATCACCAAGCTGTTTATTTTACCTTCTTCACATTTCTTCACTCCTACTGTGACCAGCATGCTTCAGGACACCCATCTATTTTTTGGTTGTTGTTGTTTCCTTGTAAACCTAATCATGACTTTATAGTACTTAAATTACTTTCATTGCTCTTCCATAGTTAGAATAAAGCTGAAATGTCTAGCCAGGTACATATGGTTACTCAGAATGGATTTCTGGCTAGTCTGTTTGATGTTCTCACCTACTCCGCAGCCTCCTTACTTATCATGTTGAATTACATGAGACAATGTTATATCATGATAAGAGAGTAGACTCAGACATAAGGAGTAGAATTTCAGCTGTGTCATTTTCAAACCAATTAACCCCTATGTGCTTCAGTTTCCTCAGTTGTAAACTAGTGATAATGACATCTCAGAGTGTTATGAGGATTACCAGACATAAAGAAAGCATGGTGCTTGACACACAGTAGGCGCTCAGTAATCGCTAGCCATTAATATGGTTAAGATTAATAGTTTTTTTCTCCAAAGAGATTGGGTCACCATTTTTCAACGATGTATTCAAACCATCTATAATGGTACCTGATGAATACATCAGATGAATACGTCATTGAATAAATGAATGGACTGAATCATTCTATATGCTTAAAGAGTCTGGGATATTGTTTTAAAAAAAATTGTTGTTTTGTTGTTGGTAAGTAACCCATGTGTGTGTGTTTCGTACTGTGGAGTTGGTTCCGACTCATAGTGTCCCTGTACAGGGTTTCCAAGGTGATAAATCTTCACGGGAGCAGAAAGCCTCATCTTTCTCCTGCGGAACAGCTGGTAGTTTTGAACTACTGACCTTGCGGTTCGCAGCCCGATTTGTAGCTACTATGCTACCAGAGCTCCTTAGGTAACCCATAGCACCATTAAAAATATAATCTGAGTTCTTTGATCTCTACTTATCTTCCCAAACATATATATAGATATATAATACATATACCTTATATATCAAAATATGTAAAATATATTAAGGAGCTCTGGTAGCATAGTACTTATGAATCATGCTGCTAACTTCAGGGTCAGCAGTTCAAAACTACCAGGTGTTCTGCAGGAGAAAGATGAGGTGTTCTGCTCCCGTAAAGATTTATAGTCTCAGAAACACTGTGCAGGGTCGCTTTGGCTTGGAACCAACTCCATGGCACATAACAACAACAACAATATATATATAGTATATATGACTTCATTAGACTTTTCTTATGCAGAGATATATTCTGGAAAGATAGAAAATGTGTGGAATTCCATAAAAGAATGAATGGATATATGAATGAGCTGCAGAGGGATCTCTGGGAAGGTTTGGAGACGGCAGATTGCTCTGGGGCTTCTATTTTTTCTATCATGTCCCTTGCGTCTTGTTAGTAGATGAGGGTTATGTATTCATTGTGTTGATAGGAAGAAGACAGCCTTCGAGAGGCCCCTCCCAAAGTCCCATACTCCATGCTTACCATTTGGCCGTACAGGAGGGCTTCGAACCAAAGGGCTGGTTGACAGGCTGGTTAAAACCATTGCTGCTGTCACTTTGTCCATGTCCAATTCTTCAGAAGATTTCCTATAAAACAGGGAGGGACAGGGTTAACTGTGCGTCCTCTGCATCTATTGTTGGCCAACCACTGTGATCATTTGGTACCACACAGAGTATTATTTTGACTTCTTGTTGTTAAGCGCCATCGAGTCAATTCTGACCCATAGCGACCCTGTTTTTTACGGTTTCCAAGGAGCAGTTGGTGAGCTTGAACCACCGACCTTGCAGTTCAAACGGCTTTGCAGTATGACGCATTAGCCCACAGCCCCACACCAAGACCCCTTATTTTAACGTATCCCCATAGAAATTCCATATGTTGTTAGCTTTATCATATAGTCCTGGTAGCAGTGTGAGATAGGCATTGGGTTGCTCACCAAGTGGTTAGCTGTTCAAAGCCATCAGCCATTTCATGGGAGAAAGATGAAGTTTTGGGCTCCTGTAAAGACGTACTCTCAGAGGCCTGATATATATATATACATAAAGTCGCCTTTTTCCTTTAATTTTAACCTATTTATCATCAGCTTCCTCATCTATTAAGTTATTTGGTGGAATTCATGCAGAATTAGGAAAAGAAATTCATTCATTCATGTAACAACTACTTATTGAGAAGGGGGAGCTAGCCTCTGTTCTAGGTACAGGTGGTACAGTGGCTAACACAGCCAAGGTTTCTGCCTTCATGGAGCTTATAGGTTAGTGGCTAGAGGAGTACAATTATCACTAAACAAAAAAGTACCACAACAATCTGATACTGACAAGTGCTGTTAAGGGCACAAACAGGCTGATATGATAGGGACTCTTAGGTGGGCTGCAATTAAGGTGGCCTGGAAAAGTTTCTCTGATGTTATGACGACATGTGGAGAGAAAGAGGAGGTGTCAGGAGCTGCAGAAAAGCATTACAAGCAGAAGAAATGAGCTTGGGATGTTTGAAGAACAGCCCCTGAAGGGAGAGGGATGCAGAGCGGGTCATGGGAGGAACTGTAACACTGTCCTGGTTCATTAATTATTCTAAGTGAAACAAGAATTTACCGGAAGGCTTTAAGCAAGCCTAGTGACATAGGAAGCCCAGGCGGCACTGTCTGATAAGCACTGAACTGCTAACCACAGGGTTGGGTGTTCAGACCCACTAGCCACTCCTTGGGAGAAAAAGGAGACTTTCTGCTCCCATAAAGATTTATAGCTTCGGAAACCCTATACAGTGTAGTTATGAGTTGGAACCGACTCGCTGATACGTAGCAACAACAGTGACCTAGTGTGACTAGGTTTTAGGGAAAGAGACTAAAAACAGGAAATCCAAACCAAGGATGGCTTGGATGAGAATGAGGAGAACAGTGGGAGGACAATTGCCAGGACGGGGTGATGCACTGGGTATGGGAGATGAACTAACAGGAGAAGTCAAGGATGATGCCCAGAGTTTTGGCTTGAGCAGTAACAAGGAACATTTGAGATGAAACAGACTGGAGAAGAAATGCCACTGGTGGTGGTTAAGCATCGGCTTTCTTTTGGCTGCTCTGACCTTGTAGGAGTAGTTACCATGCTGTAAAGGTGAAGAGCCACTGGTAATTGTTCATCAAGAAGCAGTTGTTTTGGTTCATTAGTTTTAGCCAGTTAACCCCGAATAAATATTCCTAAGATAATGATGATGGTGAACTTGAATCAGCTTGTGAACTGGAGTCAGCTTATTTGAGCTTATTTCAGTAAAAAATTACTATTGAGAGGCAAAAATTTATGTGGTATAGTAACATCAGGTAAATTGTCCCACCAACTGAGCGATGAATATTTGCAAGTTAGGGAGCAGTTGAAGAAGGGCAACAGAGGATTAATAAACCATACCCACAAATGAATTGTCATTATGACAAATGTGGCTTTCACTCACAGGTGTGCTGAATACTTTGTAAAACAATTTTTAGAGAGAAAAACTTCAAAGTAGCTTCACAGCACAGTGAGAAAAGAATTCTTAAACTGGAGAAAGGTCAAATGTTGCGCAATTTTGAGGGAACTTTTGAATTAATTTTACCATGAAATTACAAAAAATATTACAAATTAGTGCTCCTTTGTCTGTCATGGTGTTATTTTTTAGGCACATCTGTCCCAGAGAAAACACTACACCACTGCAAAGCAAACTTTACTCTTTTCTATCCAAGGTATCAAAAGATAAGAATCTTAAATTCATTCCTGCAATTCTTCTCAAAGCACCATAAACTCATTCCAGCACACTCTTCTATCAGAAAACAAATTGTTTCCGAGACTGGGAATGAAAAATACTCCTATAATGCAAACTTGAGAGGGGTGTTGTTAAGTGACATTGAGTTGGTTCTAGCTCATAGTGACCCTGGTATAGGGTTTTTGAGGAGTGCTGAGGTTTTGAACAACCAGCCTTGCGGTTAGCAGTCTAGTGCTTATCCTACAGCTTGAGAGTACACTCTGTAGTTTTCAAGACAACTTTATATATTTAGGAGTTCTGGTGTGGCGCTGTAAGAAAAGCACTGGACTGTTGACTACAAGGTCAGTGGCTCAAATCCACCAGAAACCCTATAGAGGTCACCATGTGTCAGAACAGACTTTACAGCACTTAACAACAATAACAACACAGGGGGTGGGGTGGCGGGGGAACTGCTTATTCGTTTGGTATACTGCCCAATATATAAGATTCCAGTACTCAGGAGTAAGGTCATGCCAGTATCTTACAGCCCCAGGGAAAGAATGTTGATGGAATTATGAGTGTTGTTGGCTAGATTTCGCCATGTAGTCATGCTCACAGGGAAGGAGTAATGTGGGGGCCTCGGAGGAGAGATGCTTGCTATATTGTTGTTGTTAGGGTGCGGTCGAGTTGATACGTACAATAGAACAAAACACAGGTCGCTCCTGGACCATGCTCACACTGTTGCTATGCTTGAGCCCATTGCTTCTCTGACTGACTGCCCTTCCCACTGCCCAGCTGAGTGGCCACTTCTGTCAAATCTTCCAAGGTTGGATTGCAAGAGCTGTTGCTTTCTCTTTATGTTTTCTGTGTTTTTTCCCCTCTCTCCCATTCTATTGTTAATAAAGGTTTCAGACCCAATCTACGAGGCCCTTGCAGCTGGCACAGAGAAAAGGCATTAACTTTGTATGGAGAAAGCCCCTTCACCCCTTGATTCCTAAGGGGATTTTATAATTACGTCTTTTTCTTCTACATCTTGGTATCAGGGGACTTTGAAGAGAGGATTAAACATTCATATACATGCATACCTTGGAGATATTGCAGGCTCAGTTCTATCTAGATTACTGTAATAAAATGAGCCACACAAGTTTTTTGGTCTTCCAGTGCATATAAAAATTATGTTATGTAATAGACAGATATTATATAACAGATTACCTGTAGTCTATAACATGTGCAATAGCATTCTGAAAAAATTAGAAATATGAGAAGGACCAAAATGTGACACAGAAACATGAAATGAACACATGCTGTTGGAAAACAGCACAAATAAACTTGTAATAAACCTTCAAATTTATACAAAATACAACAAAGTGAGGTACAATAAAATAAAGTGTGCCTGTCATCCAAGTGTTTTCATATTTGGATTGCATTTCAAGTTTCCCATTGGTATTGCAGGTCACTAACAACAACAGTCAAAGGAGTACATTGTGTAGGACTCCGTGAGTAGCCTATAGTTCGCAGGAGTTATTTTTATCACTCTAGATGAAACATTACCAGATGATATGGCCTTGTGCTGAGCTGTTTTTGTTTTTATCTTCGTTTAATTTCTTCTCGTACAGTACTATCTAATTACTGATTAATTGGTGCTGCAAATTCAAATCCTTATAATTAAACATGAAGTGATGATATAGATGTAGAGTTTGCTACATTTTGTAGAAAGTGCTGCAAAGACCGTCTAATAGGTTTAGAGTTGACAATGAAAAAAAACAACACAAAAATCGATATGAAGTAGTCTCTCTCCATTTGAAAATGAATTTAAATTTACTGTGGCAAACCTTATCACATCATTGCAAAAGGTTAAGACCTTTTTCAATCAATCTTTCCTTCCAGAGTTGCATGATTAATATTTAGAATTACATCATAAAGAGTAGCAATTGTTGCATTATCATTCTACAAGTATGTGATTTGGTTCTCACATTGATCTGGCTTCAGAGGATGAAGAAGGTTTCAAAAGAAGGGAATCCAAAGTCTTGGCTTGCTAGGGGATTGCTTAGGAATTTCTGTTGGGGGATGAAAGTGACAGAGTCTGGGCCAGCTCACAGGGCCCCTTTGTGTCAGGCTAAGTGCTTTGCCATACTCTTGTCAGCAAAGAGAAACTATTAAACATTTGTGAACCTGGGAGAGAAGCGATCAATGTGTATTTTAGAAACAGGTTGACGGAATTCAAATCCAAAACACTGGTCTGAGACAACGATCCCTCCATGAACAAATACTATTTATTCTGTGAGTACAGAACCCCTGTGATATTTACTAAGGATGGGCAATAGTTAATCCACGCTCTGCTGTGTGATCGTAAATATATAACTTATCCCCTCTGCGTCTGTTTACTCTTCTTTAAGAGGAGGAAACATAGGTTAGTTGAGCGGATTAAATGAGAAAATGTATGTGAACACCAACACAGTCTCACCTAAACTAAGGTTTCCATGGATGTGAACTATTAGCTCTCACATTCATGAACACAATGATAAGTATCACACTGCTTCACTATTCTTACTCTGTACCAGCACTAGCCAGTTTTGCTTTTCTAACAACCCCCCACCCCCGCCTTTGAGGTGTGTGTTTTTAAAAGAACAAAACTGTTGTTATAGCTTCATGACAGTTGGTCTGTTAAGAGGTGGCAACGGCACATGAAGCAGTAGTCGCTTCAAGTTCATGACCTGGCAAAGATAACCTCATTACATCACAGGTCTGTAGGACTATTCATATATAGCTTCAGAAACTCTATACAGGGTCTCTATGAGTCAGAACCAACTAAACGGCACCTAACAACATCAGAGCACCCTTTAGATTTTTATGTCTCAGAGTTTCTGCTTTCAGTCACCCTAGGAGT